AGTCAATCCTGCTCACGACCGAAGGCTCAAGCACGTCGACATTCGATATCACTTCATACGTGAATACGTAGAAGAAAAACGAGTGGATATAGTCTACGTTAGTACGGATGAAATGATCGCCGACACATTGACGAAACCACTTGGTGCAACGAAATTTGAGCGTTTCCGGTCTATGCTAGGCTTGGTCTTCAGTAGATTAGGCAATAACTAGTCGAGTGGGAGTGTCAGAACTGGGCGATTACGTTATTGCCCTGTACGGACTAATGGGGATACATCACATGACCCCCGATTATGTTGTAGTAATACGGACTAGATTACTCATGCTTACTGTACACGCTTACATACAGGTAGTACCATAGGTCCCTTAGCGGTATCAGGAGTCCTGACTCTCATGTATATATACTGGCCTTGTAGCACAGAATACGATAAGAGTTCAGTCGCACTTTAACACGCTTCTGGAAGGCGAAGGGGTTCATTGCGTAAGTGAGGGGTGAGGCAGGTGCATAGGGATGGCCCCTCAGTACTCAGTAATGATTTTGAGACATTGAGAATCAAGAAGAGAGGATATATGGAGACTTGAGAGCACAGGGCTTCGAGATCTTATACTTCACGACGCCCGCAAAGAACTCTTTCACGCCTCGGCGCAGTGGGGGAAATACTGTCTTGATTAGCTGTAGCCATCAAAAAGTGCTATTTCGCCGTCAGACATACAAATTAAATAAATGTGGACATCTGCAGCCGAAACCTCACCTTGTACGTTGCAGCGCAAGATGAGCGGCAAGAGTGCTTTCTGCGAAGCCGCTCGGTGGACCGGCCAGCTCTGCGCAACTGCGACTGGTTGTCCATAAACCGCTGGATCAGCCCAAAATTTACATACTAGCACCTCGATGACCACCGTGATGCAGGACCTCTGGCTGCTCATTTGTGCACGATGGGTCTCTGCAGCCGCGCTGATCGGCGGAGGTGTCCAGGACTTTCTCACAGTTAGGTGGTGTAAGAAATTAACGCAAGGCGGCTTACCTCAGTTTGTAACCACAACCATCCGATTCTGACACATTCACAGTGTTCGATGTTACTTGCGCAGGAGATTTCTTGGATGCACGTTGCTGTACAAGCCATAGTTCGCCAGAGCGATGCTGTACGGCGTACATACGTATGCTGACGAGCAACATCTGCCACATGGTACGCTACGGGCGCCCTTCCATCGCCCAGCCCTTCCCAATTGACGAGCTGTGGACACAGCCAGACCAATGCCTGCACAAGACGGTAGAATTGCTACGCGTCGTCGGTCGACGTCTGCAAAACTGCCTGAAGATGAGCTTTTTAATCATGGAAAGAGTTGTCCCCGGAGAGCTTGCACCCACTAGCAGGTTCGAAAGCACAATGTGTCGTACTTGCTCTATTCCTCACTCGAACCCTCACGTGGTCAAGTACCCGATGCATTCCGAATTCTCGTCCGTGAGCTCTCGAGGAGTTCTCGAGGCGGCTCTGCGGCGAGCTGTATGTGCTCGTTCCACTTCAGTTCGCCGTCCGTCCGGTCTATGCGAGGCGCTGCTCGTTGAACCGAGGAGATCGGCGTGCGAAATGGACCCGGGAACGCGCGATCTGGGGCAACGATACTGCCTTCGACGCCTACTTTCACAGCTCTGTGTGCTGATTACGGTCTCAGTCAGTGCGTTGGTCGTTTAAGCACCATCTACCGTCGCAGCACAGCTTTTTGTGATCTTGATCTTGAGGCTGATGGGTGAGTTTCACACCCTGCAAAACATACTGTATGTCTTGAATTTAATCTGTCTCAAAGTAGCCGGTGAGGCAGCTTGTCTCGGCCACCTCGATGTGAATCGACGGATGGCCTCAACATGGACACTGCCACAGCAAACCTAGAGATGTGTGGCTATGAATATTTGGAATGGCCTGCTCGCCTCAACTCAGGCCTGATTTCTCTTTCGCGAGCAGTACAAATGTTCTCTCAACTCTTCGTCGCAGTCTACCTCGCGCTCTTCACGGCAGCAACCCCACTGACCGTTCGCAAGAACTCGGTGACAGTGTCGCTAGCCCGTCGCATCAACGTGATCGGGTCCAAGACGTTTGTGGAGCTCGACAAAGCGAGAGCAAAGTCCCTCATGCGAAGTGCCACACAGAAGGGCCACAAGTCAGCATCTTCCGGCGTTGGCGTTTCTTTTCCGGCCACGAATGTGGCGGCGACCACTTATTCGCGACGGTCA